AGCATCACTGTCTTACCCACAAATCCTTGCACTCCTGGCCAGCGTTTCACCTGCCTCCTGGGGACACGGACCCTGTGCCCGGTCATGTCGGTCCCCGTCCGAGCGTTCGCAGGGCGAGGAAAGGACTCGCCCGCCAGGCACGGCGGTGGAAGGCGCCCGCACGCCTGGGTTCGCTTTAATCCCAGCCTGTGTCCTCTGCGTGTCTGCGTGTCAGCCCGGCCCCACGCCCGCTCTCTCCCGCAGAGTACGACCTGGAGCCCTGCGAGGACCCCGGCGTGCCCGCCTTCAGCCGCAGGGTGGGCTTCCGCTTCGGCGTCGGGGACGCGCTGACCTTCTCCTGCTTCCCGGGGTACCGCCTGGAGGGCGCCACCACGCTGACCTGCCTGGGCGGGGGCCGCCGGGTGTGGAGTGCGCCTCTGCCAAGGTGTGTGGGTAGGTGGTCACACGCTTTCATTTCATTCGCCCAGGGGCGGGCCTGGCGCAGCCGGACGCGGGGCCCTGCGTGGCGGGAGGAGGGCGAGGAGGAGGGTGAGAGCGAGGGTGGGTGTGGGCGTGGACCGGCCACTTAGCTGCCTGCCAGGGGCGAGCCTCAGACTGGCTGTGCCGTCTCAGCTGGAAGGTCAGCCCTTCAGCCCCACAGTTCATGACTGAGGGATGACTCTTCGTCAGTCATATTTATAAAGGGAAACGGGGCAAAGGAATGTGGAAACCACACTGTGGGAACACGACATTGACACGCTGTAGGAACACAGCCTTGGACATGCTGTAGGAACATGACTGTTGACACGCTGTAGGAACACAGCCATGGACAGGCTATAGGAACAGGCCTGGGACAGGCTGTAGGGGCAGGCCTGGGACAGGCTGTAGGGGCAGGCCTGGGACAGGCTGTAGGAACAGGCCTGGGACAGGCTGTAGGGGCAGCCTCGGACAGGCTGTAGGGGCAGGCCTGGGACAGGCTGTAGGGGCAGGCCTGGGACAGGCTGTAGGAACAGGCCTGGGACAGGCTGTAGGGGCAGGTCTGGGACAGGCTGTAGGAACAGGCCTGGGACAGGCTGTAGGGGCAGGCCTCGGACAGGCTGCAGGGGCAGGTCTGTGACAGGTTGTGGGAACAGGCCTCGGACAGGCTGCAGTAACACAGCCGTGGACCGTGGTGAGGACGGAAAGCAGGTGTCTCCCTGGCACAGCACGGCAGTGTAAAGGCTCTGGTCCTGCCGTGTCTCTGTTTGGCCGCTGACGGCCCGGACCTGTAAGCGGGCATTGAAGTCGGGGTGGAGTCCACGTGTCCGGGTTGTCCTCAGAATCTGGACGGGGCTCCCCGACGCCAGCAGGAAGGTGTGCAGGCTCTGGGAGGCGCGCTGGGCAGCATGGAGGGTTAGGGGGCCTGGGGGCACATCCCTGTGACTGGGAGGGGCAGCAGGAGGCGGAGCTACAGGACTGAATGGCAGCATTCTGCCTGCAGTCCCAGAGCCTGCCCCTGCTGCCCCTGCTGGGCACACGCAGCCCCACCACCTGCCACTGGGGGCAGAGCACGCTGACGCGCAGCGAGCGCCAGAAGTGCTTCTGCAGAGTCCCTGAGAGCCCTCGATGGCGAGACCCGGAGCACAGGCCCACCAGCCGGGACGCCTGGAGGCCGAGGGGAAGTTGGGGGAAAAGATTCCGTAATCCTCAGAGCTCGGCACCGGTAGCTGGGAACACCCACTTCTGTGACGGAGCGCCTCCCGGTGCTGTTGGTGGAGGGCACCCCCGATCCAAAGCGAACCCTGGCTTCCCGTTTCCACGGAGCACAGACCGCCAGGCAGGACCCCTGCGCCAACAGCCCAGCCGTGCCCTGAACGGGCCCCTCATCGCCTGCCAGACACATGTCTGCTCACGTCTGCGCCCTGGCTTTCTCTCATAACTGCAGAGAGGCAGAAAGGCATTCTGCCTCTCTGCAGTTATGATGTTTACTTGAGAACGGGGTGCACTTTTGAACGTGGCCTCCAGGAATACTGTGCACCGCACCTTAGAGCTGCCCCCCAGCCCCCAGGATCCTGGGACCCGCTCCCTCAGGCCGGAATTACCGACCTACAGGGTCTAAGACCTCAGAGAAGCTCTCAGCTTGGAGAAGTCAAGCAGCATCTACAGACCCGCACGGGGGAGCAGCCTGCCGATCACAGTAACCCACTCGCCGTGATTCCATCTCATCGGATCATCTCCTTCGCTGCTGGGTCTGGGTCTTCACGCTGTGGCCTACAGTGTGCGACGAGGGTACCTGGGGCGGAGTTAGCCCGAGCAGCCCTAACTCCAGAGTAGAAGGCCCGCTGAGCTCCTTTCCCTGCCTAACTCCTTACCCAGACACCTCTGTGAGGTCAGCACCGCTACCCAGAGTCCCATTATACAGACGGGAATGCTGAGCCCACAGCTGCTGAGACCTGTGGCCACGGTCACGCAGTTAGCCAGGCTGGAACCCGTGTTTCTCCAGAAACCAAGGTTCCCCACTGCCCTCTCTGCCCGCAGCCGCTGGTGCTTGGCCGGTGGCTGCCGTGTGCCTTCAAACCGCAGGTTAGCTATGGCGCTGAGATCCGCAGGGCCCATGGCGATGGGAGCTGTTTCCCGCCTCTCGTTCTCCCGTTTCCCAGTAGCTTCTTCCACGGGGGGGTGGCAGGAAGTGCCGCTTCCTGTCCTTGCTGGTTCTCCAAGGTCTTCCCCAGCCACACTCTCCACACAGCCCTGACGGCCCTCACTGCCTCCCCGGGAAGGCGGACACTTCCATCCAGCTCCAGGAGACCCCCCAAACATACATAAATACATGAGCACATGCCTGTCCAAGCACACACACACACACCTGTCCAAACAGGCACATGCCTGAACAAGTATGTGCACACCTCAGTGTACACACGCCTGTCCAAGCACGCACACCCCTGCACATGAACATGTACACGGTTGGCAGCTGTACTGTTTCAGGGCCACTTGGGGCCCCCGGCGTGTGGAGCCGAAGGAATTGTAACCGAGCCCTCGCTGGCACGGGGGAGGAGCCGGTGCCGAGAGGCCCGGGCACCTGCCGGGCCCTCAGGAAGCGAGGGCTGCGCTCGCTCTGCTGATCAAAGTTGGGGTGGTTTTATGGGAACTTGGGCCTGGAAGCGAGGCCGCCCCTTGGGTCAGGGGGAGGATGCCTTCCATCCCGGACGCACTGTGGCCACGCGGGCAGAGGAGGCCGGTGCGGGGTGGGAACCCGTCCGGGTGGTGCCATGGACTGAAAACACAGGGAAGTGGCACCGCCATGACCGTCGGGCTGGGACAGGGAACCGGCCACCTCGTGAGGCTGGGGTGAGGTAAGGAGAGGAGCTGTGTCGCCTGGCGGTGCCGCAGGTGCTGGGACTCGTGGATTGTTCCAGAACGCTGTGGGGTGGCATGCTGCTCCCATGGGCTGAGGCATCCTAATAAGAAAAATAAGAAAACGCAGCCGGCCAGCATGGCTCCGTGAAACCAGGAGTCAGGGTTTGATTCCCAGTGACGGGCACAGGCCCAGGCTGCGGGCTCCATCCCCTGTAGGGGGCATGAGGAGGCAGCCGTCAATGACCTTCTTTCCTCAATGATGTTTCTATCGCCTCTCCGTCTCTGAAACCCGTGAAAACATTTTCTAAAAAAGAAAGAGCACCTTGGACACGGTTCCTTCCCGTGCAGCCGGGGAAATGCTCCAGGTCACAGGTCTGTGGCTACAGCGGACCGACGGCAGACAGGCTGGGAGGAGGGAGGCTGCGCGGCTGTCACGGCGTTAACGCCCAGCCCTCTCCCTTTCCCTCATAGCTGAGTGCGGGGCAAGGGTCACGGGCAGCGAAGGGACGCTGCTGTCGCCGAACTTCCCGTCCAACTACGACAACCACCACGAGTGCATCTACAGCATTGAGACGGAGGCGGGCCAGGGCATCCGCCTGTGGGCGCGGACCTTCGAGCTGCAGGCCGGGGACTTGCTGCGGGTAAGGCCCCTCCTGCACAGCCCCTCCCGCCACGGCAGCGGTGCCTGTGGACACTGCACCGGGACGTTCCTGTGACGCGCGGTCCCCAGCCGGTTCCTCCCCTGGGAAGCGGCAGGAAGTGCCACGTGAAGGAGGGAACGTGGACTGTGACAGCGGGCCTGTGGTCCTGGTCTGGCATTAGCGGTATATCTTGGGCAAATAACTTAACACTTCTAGCTTCCAAACATGTAAAACATATAACGCTGATGGCTGTGTAGCGGTGTGATGTGGTGTGTGTCTCCAGCCCTGTGCCTGGCACTCACAGGCAGTTACAGCTCATGGGGCCCCAGCCTGTCCCTGGGGCCACTCTGTGTACACGTGGCCCGGCATGCAAAGCTGTGATGACCGAGACGTGACTGTGGACATTTGCAGCCACTGTCACGGGACCACGGGGCCGGTTCACATGGAGGGGCCACGGGGACTGGACAGACTCAAGGAAGCAGGCCCGGGCATGAGCTGGGCCCTGAGCAGGGCTCCGTGTGTCCTGTGATGGCGAGTGTTAGGCTCAGGAGCCCCAGGTCTTGCCTTGACCTAGGACCATAGTCAGCAAACTCCTTAGTCCACAGAGCCAAATATCAACAGGGCAATGATTGAAATTTCTTTGGAGAGCCACATTTTGTAAACTTGAACTACTTCTCACTTCTTCAACATAGATTCCCCCAGGCCGTGGTGTTTTGTGGAAGAGCCACACTCAAGGGGCCAAAGAGCCGCATGTGGCTCATGGGCCAGGGTTTGCCGACCACGGCTCGAGGACCCCACCTCCAGGTGGAGATGCCCGTGAGCTCTGAGGCTCCTGAGACCTCCCCTTTCCTGGGACCGCGCAGGGAGCGGGGCTCCTGGGGGCAGGGGCCCAGGAGCTCACACTGCAGCTCCAGCCTCGGGCATCAGACAGGCGTGAGAGCACAGACCAAGGCCAGGCCTCGTCCCGTCCATGGCCCTCGGTCCGCAGAGACGTGGCCACTTGTCCAGGTCACACAGCTGAGCCTTGGCAAGGTGGGCACATCTCTCTTCTCCTTCCCTTTGCCAAAGTCTGGGTTTCATTCTTTTCTTATTTATTATTGATTTCAGACAGAGAGGAAAGGAGAGGGAGAGAAAGATCAGTGATGAGAGGATAATCAGCTGCCTCCTGCATGCCCCCTACTCAGGATTAAGCCCACAACCCGGGCCTGTGCCCTGACCAGGAATTGAACTGTGACCTCCTGGGTCATAGGTTAACACTCAACCAGAAATGTCAGCTGGGCTGGAGTTTTTGCTTTTATAGGCACATGAGGCTCCTGCTGACACCCCCCACCCCAGTCACCCCAGTGCTTGGGTCCCACCTTTGTTAAGCTGTGAGGCTGGAGGATGTGCAAAACCAGCTGCAAGGGACTGTCAGTGCCCCTTCCCCCCCACCTCTCTTCCCCCCTCCCCCCGTCTGTCATCTCTTGCATGGAGAGAGGGGTCCCTGTTGGGGCCTTGACCCTATTGGCCATGACGCAGTCAGGTCAGGAGCTCCAGGCAGAAGGGATTCCCCCTTCCCAGCTCCGCGTGGGACACATTTCTGTGCCGAGCCCAGAGGAGCCGTCCCGGGGCCGGTCCCTGGGCGCCTGTGGGCGGCGCGCGCGCAGCACCGGTAACTGCGCAGCGGAAGCCAGGAGCAGTGACCGGCTCTCCTGACCGCCAGGTGTTCGACGGGCGGGACGGCGCCTCCCGGCCCCTGGGCACCTTCACGCGGCGCGAGCTGCTGGGCCTGACCCTGAACAGCACCTCCAACCACCTGCGGCTGGAGTTCGACAGCGACGGCGCGGACACGGCCCCCGGCTTCCAGCTGAGCTACAGCAGTGAGTACCGGGCCGGCCTCCGTGTCCGTGGAGCCTGGGGCCCAGCGGCGGGCTCTCGGAACCTGACCCCGAGGCCACGGCCCCGGAAATTAAACCGGGAGGGGGCCTGGGCGGATGCCGGTGGCCACAGGGTCAGTGTCTGTATCGGGCAGAGAGCAGTGAAGGCCTGGAGAGGCAGCGGCCGCCGGGCCCAGTCCCCATCCGGCTGCCACAGGGAAGGTAAGTGACTCCAGCCCGCGTAGGCGGGAGTGGCAGAGGACATGTGCGTTAACCTCGGGCAAAAATGCAATTAAAGCGGCGACGTCCTGCACGCCGTCTCATTTCCATGGGAGTGGCCTCGGAGGAGGCGCAGCGAAGGGAAGCCTGTGGGGTCCAGGGTGTGAGCCAGCGCACGGCCCTCCTGTGGCAGAGGCTCTGCTGTAGCGAGTGCCATGGTCCACACGTGTCCCCAAAGCCACGGCTCTGACCCAGACCAAGCGCCCGCCCGTGGTCCTTGTAAGGCCGGTTCACGTGACTGCTCATTGTTGCTTCGCTCGCTCTGTTCCTTGAAGGAGCTGAAGCCACGTCCTCGCTCTGCCCGGAGCCTTCGCGCCTGGAGGTGTGCTGCTTGGGGAGGACATGGAAAGCTCCTTAGGGCACAGAGTTCACGGCCGCGCACCCGGTCCTGGCCCTCCTGCTGCCCAGGGAGCTGACCGGCCAGGCCTGCCAGCGCCTGGTCCTCGGGGTGAGGGCCTGGGCATGGCCTCCCCTCTGGGCACAGTGCTGTGTGCTCCTCTGGGATCCGTGGCCAGTGGCCTCCCCACGCAGCAACCAGGAAACTCGCACCTGAGCGTCTGTCTCCCGCCCCACCACCTCCCCGACCTCCTGGCTGCCTCCTGTCTCCGCCCACTCTGCCGCTGGCGCCGTCCATGACGGTGCTGTTTCTGTATCCTCATGGTGGGCAAAGGTCACCGGACAAATCCACGCCGACTGTGCTCACTGCCGGGGGCTGTGGAGGGGTGCCGGGCTGTGCCAGACCCGCTGCCCCACCCTGCCCTCTGTGCTACTAGCAGCCGAGAGGCCCCTGCCCCAGCCAGCAGGACGGGCCACAGGGCTGTGGCTTCTCTGCTCCATCCAGCAGGCTGGCTCCCAAGGCCACGTTCAGCCCCGTGGGCCTGCGCGTGTCCCCGCTCCCAGCACAGCTCCCCGCTTTGGCACCCGCCCATTCTCGGGGTGATGAGGAGAAACCTTGGGTCTGTGATCTATTTGTGGGCCCTTGGTAATTTTAAAACTTCAAAGAGGAAGGGAGAGAGAGAGAGAATGTCTCTGATGAGAGAATGATGGGTCGGCTGCCTCCTGCACGCCCCCCACTGGGGGTCGAGCCCACCACCCGGGCCTGGGCCCTGACGGGAATCAATCCCTGACCACCTGGTTCCTAGGATCACGCTCAACCACACAGGCAGGCGGCACGTGGTAAGGTTTCACATGGCAGCGCAAACTCTCTAAAAGGCGGAAGGAAGATACTGGTGACAGTTGCTGCTGAGCTCCTAGTCCAGGCAATTTTTAAAAAAATATATTTTATTGATTTTACACAGAGAGGAATTGAGAGGGAGAGAGAGTTAGAAACGTCGATGAGAGAGAAACATCGACCAGCTGCCTCTTGCACAGCCCCTACTGGGGATATGCCCGAAACCAAGGTTCATGCCCTTGACCGGAATCGAACCCGGGACCCTTCAGTCCACAGGCTGACGCTCTATCCACTGAGCCACACTGGTCCCGGCCTCGTCCAGTCAATTCAATGAGAGTAATTCTCTTTTCCGCCCGGGTCCCTGTTTGCCTCCCCTACAAAGCAGACGCTCCATTGGGTGAGGATGAACAAAGGGAACAGGGATCCACAGAAAACAAAGGCAGGAGCTCAGGGGCACGCCCGCCAGCGCCCACCGCTGTCCAGAGCCGGACTTGCCGCCGGGCGGGAACCGCGGGAACCACACAGTCCGGGGTGCTGCTGGCTCCACAGTCAGACGCGATTAAGTTCCCATTAAGTTCTTAGCTTTAAACACGGAGTAATTACGTCTGGGACACCCCAAGCAGCCACCATGTGCTCGGAAACCTGAGAGAAATCACCGCCCCAAAAGCTGCTGTGCCAGGCCCGGCTACAAAGCGTTGTGAGCAAATCATTAGAGCTGAGGTCTGCGTAAGGCACCTCCAACGCTCTCCCGAACCCGTAACCGCCTCGTGCTCGCTAATTGCGTTCCTTAAGAAACCTTCCTTTGAAATGCTTCAGATCCATAATTAATCCGCCCACAGGAGCGGGTTAGAAAATGCCGACAGAGGAAATGAAATATATAGTTTACTAAACATCCTCAAGTTTCTGGAGCGGCTACGGATCCATCCCTCCATCTCTTTCCCATTCCAAGGACTCTCCCATACCGCTCGGGGTACATTCCACGTCTCTCTCTATTGATGGGGACGGCGACAGGGTTTTCCCGAGGGCTGAGAGATCCCGGGTGCTGGAATGAACATTCCGCCTCACCGCTCCGCAGCTCTGGGCCTTGGCGAGTAGCTCCTTTACCTCCAGGTCCGCTGCGGAGCCGGGCCGGCGATGGGGTGTCTCAGACGCGGCAGGGTCCCCCCTCCGATGAGCTGCACGCACACTGAGGGTGTCAGCGAACCTGGTGGCCGCGGCCAGGGAGCCACGCAGCCTCGGGGGACGGTGCCATGTAGCCGTGGCGTCCATTAAGCAGCCGCTGGGTCTGAGCAGCAGGCAGGGCAACAGGCCACGGAGGGTGGCGTCTCCTCTGTACCGGGCCTGTCCCTCCTTTCCAGAGGACTGACCAGAGCTTCCTGCTGCTGGCATGAGGCCCTGGACCATGATATGTGGACGCAGGTGTCACACGGCGCCAGCCCAGCTCTCCGTTCCGGGCCAGCCTGTCCTCAGACCGCCAGTTACCGGCTGGTCCCCACGGACCTGGAGGGGAGGCAGCAGGCAGGCCGCCTCGCGTGCGGTGGGGACGAGATGTGCCTTTGGACCCCCTGCGCCCCTCGCAGCGATGCCTGCTCCCCGATACAAACGGTGAAGGCGGGGCCGGTTGTTCCAGCCCCGATGCCTGTGGCACCGGGTTCCTGGAGCTGCCTGATGCCCGGGAGCCAGGCCGCCCTCGGGGAACAGGAGCTGCCCTCCCCCTCCCCCTCCCCCTCCCCCTCCTCCTCTCCCTCCCCCTCCCCCTCCCCCTCCCCCTCCTCCTCTCCCTCCCCCTCTCCCTCCCCCTCTCCCTCCCCCTCTCCCTCCCCCTCTCCCTCCTGGCACTGGAGACGCTGCGAACAGAACTCCTGCTGTCGGTGCACGGCTGTTTTCTAAGTTTCAGCAAATATTTGCACAAAGAGAAGAGGATTCTGGGAATCGGTCACTATTGAATTCGGGATTATTTAAAATTGGTTGACTTTTCTGGTATCGCACAGGAACGTTACCCTCCAATCGCAGGCCGCGGGGCGGTGTGGGCAGCAGCAGGCTTTGTGGACTGGACCCCTTGTTATGTGAATGGGGGACAGCCCCCCTCAGAGCGCGGGGCACCCGGTCTGTCTCCGGGATGCAGTCTGGAGGGATCGGCCACGGGGTGAGGCCCACGTGTGCTGCGCGGGAGGCGAGCGTGGGCACAGAAGGGACGTGTTCCTGTTCACAGACGGGCTGGGACGGCCCGGCCCTGGCGAAACTTTGCTCAGCGGGCACGTGGCTGACAGGTCCCCGCGACAGGGGGACTGGTGGGCGAGGCCCCAATCAGTGTCCCCCCCGGGGCTCCTCTTCCGTGGAGCTCGAGGCTCCGTGTGGTTTGATATGTGTTAGGACACATCTCTGTACCGGGCTTGTTCCTTCTTCCCAGGTGACTGTCCAGAGCTTCTTGGTGATAGTATGAGACCCTGTACCCTGCTATGTGAATGCAGGTATCACACGTGACGTGTGGGTCACATGTGACACACATATGTGTTTATGGTGATGGCAACAGCATTTTCCAGACGATGAGAGACCCCGATCTGGAGTAACCAGAGACGCCCAGAGCCAGCACCCCACTGCGGCAGGCCTTCCCTGGGGGACCCCCACCCCTGGCCGCCAGCCGCATAGTTGAGTTTTTGTTTCAGTTCAGGCCTGATTGACAGCTGACTGGACCAACTACAACGGCATTTTCCAACCCTTTTCATCTCTTGGCATTCACAAACTAATCACTGAAATGCTGTGGAACACTGACAAAGGCATTGCTCTTTTTGCTAATCTGGCCAAAGAAATAGGTATGATTTTTACTGATTTACCAAATAATAATAACAATGTCCCCTTTTTGCCTCAAAGCAGCTTTTTTAAAAATCAGGGGCCTGGCCCGGCCAGGGTGGCTCAGTGGTCGAGCACAGACCTATGAACCAGGAGGTCAATGGTTTGATTCCCCACCAGGGCACAGGCCCAGGTTGTGTGCTCCATCCCCAGTGTGAAGTGTGCAGGAGGCAGTCGATCCATAATTCTCTCTCATCATTGATGTTTCTTCATCTCCTTCTCCCTTCTGCCCTGAAATTAATTTGGAAAAAAAAAAAAAAATCAGATGCCTACCCTTGTATATCAGGCTTTCTGGTGCCAATAATTAACCAATCGGACACAACCTTATGACACAACGTGACCAATCAGAGGCAGCCTGTTGTGTGACCGGCCCCCTTAGCTTCGGGACAGGCGCTCAGCAGGCAGCCGCTGTGCCTTCCGATGCGAGGTCCACGGGGAGAGGCCGGCCCCGCGGCCGGGCTGCAGGGGTCTACACTGTGCTCGGGGGAGCCGCTGACCCACAGCACAGTCCCCGGACAGGAAGCTGCCGGGCTCTGTGAGCAGGCGGACAGCATGTGCGGCTCGGACGTCCGCGGTGGCCGGAGGAGGCTGGGGGTGGACATGTTCTCGGATGAACACTGAGCTGGCCCCTCCCGGCATCCAAAGAGCCAGAGACCGCAGACAGCAATGCGCAGGCACCCAAACCCGTTCCTGCCGGGGCCGAGGCCGAGGCCGGGCAGGAGGCTGGAGGCGGCGGGTGGATCTGCCTCGGCTGGAGGAGGAGAGTGGTGCTGCCTGGAGCGGCTGGGCTCCTGCGCAGGGTGAGGGGATGCTGATTTTATTGGGGTCCCCCCGCCCGTCAGGAGCCGTCTGCTGTGCATTGTTCCCAGCCTCGCTGAGGCACGCTGGCACAGGGCAGCGAGGCAGTGGACAGGGGCTGGCTTGGCCCTGGGGTCCACTGTGAGCGACCCCCCGGGAAGGGAGTGTGGCCTCCTCAGGAGTCGCCTGCTCAGTGTGTGATCAGGGCCTGAGCCGGCGGGTGGCTCCGGGGCCCTGAGCCTGAAGTTTCCTTGGTGACCGTGGGCTCCCGTCTTGGTTTCAGTAACTGGGTTTGGGGAACTCTGGGGGAAGAGCGCGGTCTGGAAACTGCTTTTCCAAGTGACAAAGGCTCCACACTCTCTCACCGCTGCGGTCGGTGCTGGTGGCGGGCGTGCGGGCTGCGCTGGGTGAGGGAGGCCGACAGGCCCGGAGCGGCTCCAAGGGAAATACCAGGAAACAAGCGGGCGAGGCAGGGGAGGCGGGGAAGGCCTCTCGGCTTCTCCTCGGAAGCAGCTACTGCGAAGCTGCAGAACGTCTGCTGTGGCTTCCTCTACACCGACCCCCTCCCAGGACCGGGCAGCACCGCTCTGTGTCCTGGGGTTTTTCCACATTGACTGTCACATAACAGTAACAACAACAACCATAATAATAACCATTGGGTGGGAAGTCCCCTGGGAATGGCCGTCCCGTCGTGTGGGCACGTGTACCGCTCCCCGGGGACGGGGAGACCCCGTAGGTTTCCTCCTCGGAAGCCAGGCCGGAGGGACGGGAACTGTGTCGCCCTCAATCCAGGTCTGTTAATCACTGCTGGTCCATTCCGGAACCCCTTCACTCCGTGTTCTGACCAAATGCTGTTTTTATTTTATTTTATTTTATTTTTTAAAATATATTTTATTGATTTTTTTTACAGAGAGGAAGAGAGAGAAATAGAGAGTTAGAAACATCGATGAGAGAGCATCATCGATCAGCTGCCTCTTGCACACCCCCTACTGGGGATGTGCCCGCAACCAAGGTACATGCCCTTGACCGGAATCAAACCCGGGACCTTTCAGTCCACAGACCTACGCTCTACCACTGAGCCAAACCGGTTTTCGGCACCAAATGCTGTTTTTAAAGCCTTCCCATGTGTTATGTACCAGCAAATATTACAGTCGGGAAACACGCATTTGCTTTCATGATTTTGAAAGCCAGGTTGTGGACGTCTCCTTTAGAATGGGCAGGCATGCGGTGTACCTTGTGTTTTAATGACACCTGAATAGCATTCTAAGCTGACTCATAGTTGTGAGTCCAAGGCACTTATTAACAATCTAGAGGCCCGGTGCATGGAATTCATGCATGGGTTGGTGAGGGTGTCCCTCACCCAGCCTGCCCTCTCTTCAATCTGGGACATCCCTCTCACAATCCAGGACTGCTGGCTCCTAACCGCTTGCCTGCCTGCCTGCCTGCCTGCCTGCCTGCCTGCCCTATTGACTCTAACTGCTTCTGCTTGCCAGCCTAATTGCCCCCTAACTGCTCCCCTGACTGCCTGATTGACCCCTCACTGCTCCCCTGCCAGCCTGATTGCCCCCAACTCCCCTCCTCTGCCAGCCTGATCACCCACAACTGCCCACTCCTGCTGGCCTGATTGCCCACAACCGGCCACTCCTGCCACAACCCGCCTCCTCTGCCAGGACCAGCCCATTCCACATGGCACAGAGCCACAGGACTCCCAGGCCTCACCGCTCGGCCCTGCTGGCACTGGGCCCTGCCTCCACTGTGCACATGGCTTGTAACAACACGGCAGGAGAGCGTGACATCACCTAGGCTCTCACTGTATCGGATAGGAGTTAAATTAGGAGCCAGGGCCACACACCATGTGTCTGTCCCTCCTGTTTCTCACCTGGGGACCCGTGGCAGAGACCCGGCCGCCTCCTGCCTGCAGGGAGGGGAGCTCCAGGCTGGGGGTGAGCCACGCACCCAGGGCGCCGTGAGGATGACACCCACACCCCGGCCGTGGGCTTCAGGGGACGTAGGCTCAGGAGGAGCCTCCAGGCGGCCGCGCGGGTATGGACCGAGCTTGACCCCGAAGTGGCTGCGGTTCGCTGCCGGCGTCTGGGCTACCCTGAGGCCACCAGCTGGCACGCGGGAGCATGGTGGGTGACAGGGTGTCACAGGCTGCGTCGGGAAGAGTACCCACCAGTCTCCTCGCTGATCCTGCGGGAAACTTCAGGGGAAGGAGGCCCAGCCTCTCTCGGGGCCCTCCCCCGCCGTGTCCCGCGTGGCCCCGCTCACTCTCCCCTCCCCGCAGGCTTTGACCTGGTGAAGTGTGAGGACCCCGGGGTGCCCAGCTACGGCTACCGCGTCCGGGACGACGGCCACTTCGCAGACACCGCCGTCGTGTTCAGCTGCAACCCCGGCTACGCCATGCACGGCAGCAGCACGCTGACCTGCCTGAGCGGGGACCGCCGAGTGTGGGACCAGCCCCTGCCGTCCTGCGTGGGTGAGTGGGCCGCTCCCGGCAGGGGCCGGCCGGAGCCCGGGCACTCCCACAGCCGTCCCCTCCGAAGCGTTTTATCCTCCTGACGTCTGTGTAGGGTTGTCTTAAATATAGTTTTATTGACTTCCGAAAGGAAGGGAGAGGGACAGAGAGTTAGAAGCATCAGTGATGATAGAGAAGCAATGATAGGCTGCCTCCCGCATGCCCCCCACCGGGGATTGTGGAACCCTGACCTCCTGCTTCATAGGTCAATGCTCAGCCCCTGAGCCATGCCGGCCAGGCTGCGTGTAGGTTTGTAGGTGGGAAAGACGGGTGTTCTAGTCCCATTTTATGGAGACAATATGCGGAGAATTATTGGAGTTGTAGCATGCGGGTTCGTGGTTTATGCTCTCCGCTGTAATTTCATGAAAGACAGCGTCTTTCCTTCAGGGCGATGCTGGGGAACAAGGACAGGAAGGAACGCTAAACAGGGAGCGGCGTGTGATGTGTTATGCATGAAACACAGACGTGACGGGCTGTTTCTCTGTAGCTAAACAAACCCGTGACCCCTCCCACATCTGTGTCTTGCAGCGGAGTGCGGTGGGCAGATCCACGCGGCCACCTCGGGGCGCCTGCTGTCCCCCGGCTACCCGGCTCCTTATGACAACAACCTGCACTGCACCTGGGTCATCGAGGCCGACCCCGGGAGGACCATCAGGTGCGTGTCACTCAGCGACTTGGGGATGGAGGCATGCCGGCTGCTCTCGCCTGCATGAGCCCTGGGGGTGATTGGGAGGTTGCTGAGGTAATGGAGAGAATGTGCTGAGGGGTGAATGGTCCGAGGGCTCAGGTGCTGATGTTGGTGTTCCTTTGACAATGTGTGGTGACCACGTATAACAGAGAAAAGCAGAATGTGCATCAGTTAGCATTTGCTACGTAACAAGCTGCCCCCCTGCAAAAAAAAAAACAAAACAAAAAAAACTAGTTGCTTAAAACAGTTATTTGCTCAGGATGTGGTGGGTGGTCTGGGCAGCTCTGGTCTGTGCACGCTCAGCCAGGTGGTCCGAAGGGCCTGGCTCAGGTGTGCGGCCTCAGTGGGACGGCTGGGAAGGTGGGGTCCTCTCCGTCCCAGTTGCTCGTCTGCCGTGGGCTGGTCGCGGTGGAAGGCCCTCGGGGGCAGGAGGTGCCAGGCTTCTCAAACTTCCGCTTGCATCGAATTCGCACACTGGTCCTCTAATTAATGAACAATGTGCCAAGGTCATCAAAACGGACAGCTTTTATGTGAACTGACTTAGATATTGAACTATTGCATTCTAGGAAAGAATAGTTGTTCCACCCATGTCCTGTCCCGGGGTCTTTTCCCTTCTGTTGCACACCTTCCCGTGTCAGAGTTCACCTAATTCATGACCAGATCTTTGTAACTCCAGGCCTAACATCCTTTGGGGGGGCGGCGGGGGAGGCAGGTCGGTATCCACAAGGAACCTGGTTGATGTCCAACTGCACCTGCACATGTTCCTGGCGTTGCCGCCGCATTGGTGACAGACGTGCAGTTTGGGGGATGTTGATTTGGACAATAACAGACTGAAATGCGTGTAACATGTTCCTGTAGGCTTCCTATGCTTCTCATACTCAGGAGAATGGGTCTGGTCTGAGCGTTGACCTGTGGGCTAGGGCACGGAGTCCTGGTTGGATCGTTGTTGACGTATCGACCTCATTGCTTCACTCTTTACTTGAAAACAAGGAAAATGCCGCTTATGTAGCCATCATGCCAGGGATGGAGGCCGAGGCCGTGGGAAAAGCTTGGCTCTCCTCCCTCTTACCTGCTGTTTCCAGTTCCTCTCCCCCCCTCACGTCCCTGGCACTTTACTCTTCTCCCAACTGCCCTTTCCAAATCCCGCCACTACCGGCTGGTCCCAGAGTCCCTGCCCCTGGGGTGGCGCTCTGCCCTGGCACCTTATCTCCGCTGCTCGCCCGGGCCCGTGTTTCAGAGGGTGCGCTCACTGTCTGTCTGTCCATCTGTCCGTCCATCCAGCGCAGTACCTTTCTCTATCGATTACCCACTTGCTTTATTAGAAGTCCTGAAATTGCGTGGTGTAATCCCCGCCTTCGTTTTTGGCATTAGATCGCCATGGCTGTTCATGGCTCTGCATTCCCACATGCATTTCACAAACATGTGCCTCTTTCCACCACGGAAACGGCTAGGTTGCCTATTGGAATCACCGTCGGTCCGTAGATGGGTTGAAGGAAAGCTGACGTTGCGGACGGTGCTGAATCAGTCCCGGCACGGTGCGTTGTCCTGGTCATGGAGATCAGAGACAGTCTGCCGCAGTCTGCACGTGTGTTCTGTGCGTGGGCCTTGCACGTCTCAGAGTGACTCCCGCTCTGATGATGACGCTTCATCTCATCTCGGGTGTGACTCCCTGAACGTGGCCTTCTCCGAGCAGAGGCCTCACTCTGCCCAGTGGGAAAAGCAACTTGAAGACAATACTAGCCGACAGCAAAACGGCATCGATGACGTCATTATTGGTGGACACACGAAGGGCCCTCCCTGTGCATCGTCTGGGGATAAGACGTGCACGCGTGGATGGAAATTGTGAAAACATAAACGGGACGGTCCATCTGAACTTCAGAGCGTGGGTGACCGGAAGGACACAGGACCACATGGGGGCGGGCATGTGAGAGTGTCTATACGGTTTTATTCTTTAAAAAGGTCTGGATCCAATGGGGTTGACGGTTACCACCGCAGCAGGGGAGGGGTACACATATGCCTGCTGTAGTCTGATCCTTTCTGTGGAATGAAAATATATTTCATGTCGGGCATTTAAAAACCTGCTGTTTCATACTCGGTGCAGGGGAGGTATTTTGAGCATGTAACACACACAGAATAGATCATTTAGAAGTGTGTGCAGTCTTTCCGATGTCATCTTTTCCGATTTCGTATCTCCCTCACAACCCTGTGACTGCGCGGTAAGTCAGCGCCCGGGCTGGCGTGGGGCGCCGCTCCGATCCGTCTGAATTGCGCAAATAGGACCGGATTCGCTGCCTCCTCTGACAGCGAGCTCCTCGCGGGGACGCTGGAGTCCTTCTGGAAAATGTCTGCAAATCCAATCAGATGCTGTAACTTCATAAAGGAAGGAGCTGCTATTACACTCCGCCGCCTGGGCGCCCGGAGAGCTTTAAATGTCATAAAGGGAGGAGGGAGGGGGCCCACCCGCCTTGCGTTGCTGTTGCAAATAACGCCTTTTCTGAAAATGCAATTTATGGGAACAAATACAACATCAGACCCCATCACAGGGCTCCAGGCAGACAATCTCCTGGTGTCATCCTTTCCTGCCGGCGTGGATGCTGCCCCCTCGTGGGCACGACAGGAGCAGCACCGGCCTCACATAGAAAACCTGTGGGATCCTTTTCACACAAAGCTCTGTCCCGTGTGTCCTGATGGCCAGGAAGCTCTGTGTGATCGCCAGGAGCGGGCAGCCCCGCGTGCATGGCTCCGTGGTTGAGCTTCGACGTATGAACCAGGAGCGATTCCCAGTCAGGGCACTTGTCTGGGTTGTGGGCTCCCTCAGTGTGGGGTGTGCAGGAGGCAGCTGCTCCATGATTCTCTCTCATCACTGATGTTTCTCTCTCTCTTCCCTCTCCCTTCCTCTCTGAAAGCTATATATAGGGTCCTGCCATGGGCTCCCGCTCTGCCTGGGCGTCCCTGCAGCCCTGTCCTGGTGCAGTTAGTGGTGATCAGGCCGGCAGCAGAGTGGTTAGGGGTGGGATGGAAGCCGGCGCCATGGCCGGGTGGTTGCTGGGCCCCCGTGCGCCCTGGCCGGAGGCATTGCCGAGTGACGTGACTGTGTGTCTCCGCAGCCTCCACTTCATCCTGTTCGACACGGAGAAGAGCCATGACATCCTGCGGGTGTGGGACGGGCCGGCGGAGCGCGCCATCCTGCTGACGGAGTGGAGCGGCTCGGCGCTGCCGGGCGACATCCACAGCACCTTCAACGCCCTCACCCTGCAGTTCGACAGCGACTTCTTCATCAGCAAGTCCGGCTTCTCCCTGCAGTTCTCAAGTGAGTGCTGCGCCCCCAGGCCCCGGGGCCAGCGCTCCCCACGGGGGGGCCTGTGCCTGAGCACAATGTGGGGAGTGAAAGGGCGGGTCAGAGAGGCTTGTCTTAGGAAACCCTGCTTCATTAGAGTGGCTATGCCTGTATCTACATCTGTACTACCCCTATCTACATAGCTATAGCCATATATACCGATCATATCTATATCTACATCTGTACTATCCCTATCTACATAGCTATAGCCATATATACCTATCATATCTATATCTACATCTGTACTACCCCTATCTACATAGCTATAGCCATATCTATCTATAATACCTATATCTACATAGCTATATCCATATATACCTATCATATCTATATCTACATCTATAATGCCTGTATCTACATAGCTATATCTATATATGTCTATCATATCTATATCTACATTTATAATACCCCTATCTACATAGCTATATCCATATCTATCTATAATACCTATATCTATATCTATAATATCTATATCTACATAGCTATATCCATATATACCTATCATATCTATATCTACATCTATAATACCCTTATCTACATAGCTATATCCATATCTATCTATAATACCTATATCTATATCTATAATACCTATATCTACATAGCTATATCCATATATACCTATCATATCTATATCTACATCTATAATACCTATATCTGCATAGCTATATCTATATATGTCTATCATATTTATACCTACATCTATAATACCTATATCTGCATAGCTATATCCATATCTATCTATAATACCTATATCTATATCTATAATACCCATATCTACATAGCTATATCCATATATACCTATCATATCTATATCTACATCTATACTACCCCTATCTACATAGCTATATCCATATATACCTATCATATCTATATCTACATCTATAATACCTATATCTGCATAGCTATATCTAGATATGTCTATCATATTTATACCTACATCTATAATATCTATATCTATCATATCTATATCTACATCTATAATACCTATATCTACATAGCTATATCCATATCTATCTATAATACCTATATCTATATCTATAATACCCATATCTACATAGCTATATCCATATCTATAATACTTATATCTACATAGCTATATCCATATCTATCTATAATACCTATATCTATATCTATACCTATATCTACATAGCTATATTTCTATCTATAATACCTATATCTATATCTATAATACCTATATCTACATAGCTATAGCTATATCTATCTATAATACCTATATCTATATCTATAATAACTATATCTACATAGCTATATCCATATTTATCTATATATCTATATCTACATCTATAATACCTATATCTACATAGCTATATCTATATATGTCTATCATATTTATACCTACATCTATAATATCTATATCTATCATATCTATATATACATCTATAATACCTACATCTATATATCTATATATATGTCTATCATATCTATATCTATATCTATATCATATCTATATCTACATCTACCCTGTTTCCCCGAAAATAAGACAGTGTCTTATATTAATTTTTGCTCCCACAGATGCGCTAGGTCTTATTTTCAGGGGATGTCTTATTTTTCCATGAAGAAGAATACGGTACACATTTATTGTTAAATGAAAATAAAGGAAATTTATTACCTGTATACGGTACGGTAGTACGGTAGTTGTCAACACAAACCAGACAAACTGTGAATCCTACAGTATCAAGAATTTACTCATTTATTCAATGACAATCATGTCATCATCTTCTGGAACATCATCATAACAATCCAATTCCTGAATTTCCTGGTGAATTTCTTGTGACTTCATTTCTTTCAGAATCAGTGGACCAAATCTCTCATGTTCAGCCTAAGGGGGGCCTTATTTTTGGGGGGATGCCTTATATTTCACTCAGAAGGAAACCTGTAAGTAGGTCTTATTTTTGAAGGATGTCTTATTTTCGGGGAAACACGGTATAATATCTATCTACATTTATTTTTATAATAATTATGACTATATCTATATCTATAATATATATATATATATATATATCTACATCTATAATATTTCTGTTTATATCATTGATCTATGTCTATATCTACCTATCTATACTAATAAAAGGGTAATATTCTAATTAGACCAGATAGACCAGACATCTTCTGGTTGTCCAGTTCTCCTTCCAGACAAAGCTATGGTGGCAGGGCTGAGGCAGAGGTGGATAGGGGCAATCAGGCGGACACGGGAGGGCAGTTAGGGGCGGTCAGGCCAGCAGGCAGAGGCAGTTAGGGGTGATCAGGCAGGCAGGCAGGCAGGCAGAATGGTTAGGGGAAATCAGGCAGGCAAGCAGGTGAGGGTTAGGAGCCAGTGATCCCAGATTAGGAGAGGGATTTCGACTGCCGATTTAGGCCCAATTCCAGGGATAGGGCCTAGACCAGCAGTCAGACATCCCCTGGATTGGAGAGGGTGCAGGCTGGGCTGAGGGACCCCCTCCCCCATGCATTAATTCCATGCACCGGGCCTCCAGTATATACATAACTTTATAAAGTGATGAGGGTCACACTGTGTGTGATGGAGAACAGCTTCTCAACAAGTGGACAATTGAGCTTCACTGTGGACAAAACAATTCCAACTCTACCTCACACCATACATAAAGTCAATCCTAGATGGAGCGGAGACGCAGCTTCATCAAGCTTTATATGTACGCCAGACGCCCGATGCACGGAATTTGTGCAAGAGCAGGCCTTCCCTCCCCCGGCTGCCGGCACCGGCTTCACTCCGGCACCCGGGACCGGGCTTCCCTACAGCACCTGGGACCCGGGCTTCCCTCCAGCACCTGGGACGCGGGCTTCCCTCCAGCCGCCGGCAGGCACCCGGGACCCGGGTTCCCCTCAGAGCCCCGGCTACATCCGGAAGGTCGTGCCGAAGGACGTCTGGTCTAATTAGTGTATCATGCTTTTATCATTATGGACGTACCTTTAAAGGCTTCCCCTGCCTGCTCACCTTAAGCTGAGCCAGGTGTGGGTCTCTCCCTGGACACCAGGTTGGCCCTGCTGCTCCCCACACCAGGCTGCCAGTGGCTGTGGTGTGAATGAGTTCCCAGAGCGCCAGCTGCCAGCTGACCTGCTTTCTCTTCCCCCACCTCCCCGCACGGAGAGCCTGGTCCGCGCCTCCCTGGGCTGAGGGCCAGCTGCTAGCGTGAGAGCCACCTCCCAGCATCCTCGGGGCCTCCTGCCTGGCCCACATGCTCCGTCCACTCCCGGAGACAGGACACCTTCGGGGTCCAGGCCGCTGGGAATGGACGGTTTCCGGGGGAAGCAGGGCGAGAGGTTTGGTGGGTTCGCCTCCGAGTGCATTTAGGTGGCCCATGCAGAGGCGCCGTTCCGTGCAGTGGCGTGCGGGTCAGCGGCATCGGAAACAAGTGGGATTCACACGCAAACACTCTCCACCTCCACCCATCTCTCAGCGGGTCCCGGAGCCAGAGCAGGATTTACATGAGAGTGCGCTCGGTCAGTGTGCTGTTAAAAGGTCGCCATAACACTGAGGTCACAGGCTGCACAGTTCCTCACCTTGGGGCACGGCCTGTGGGGGGCCGTTCGCTGCGAATACCACAGGGGAGGGGGTGTCTGCTCTTCGGGAAAACAGGTCCGTTTGCTAAGATGGTGCAGGTTTGCTCTTTGTGTGAAACAGAAATGTCCTTTTCTTAGAAGCGGTGGTGTGAGCGGATGGTAGGCGTGTGACTGAGGGCGGTGTGGTACAGCCGACAAGTGGGAGAGCGAGGAGAGGACTCTGTGCTCTCGGGGCAGTCCCTAACCAGCTCTGAGGGCAGTGCCGGCTTCAGAGCAGCACGGAGGGGGCGGGAGAGCCCCCCACCCCTGCCCTGCCCTGCCCTGCCCTGCTGTCCCATGAGGCTCCCCTCCGGGGCGTCTGTCACAACTGAAGACCTGCAGTACCCAGATGGTCACCCGGAGTCCACAGTGGACACCAAGGCTCACTAGTTTTTAAAAACGTATCTATTTTATTGATGTCAGTGAGGAAGGGAGAAAGAGGAAGAGAGAAACATCCATGATGAGAGTCATGGATCGGCTGCCTCCTGCGTGCACCCTACTGGGGACGGAGCCCACAGTCCTGGGAACGTGCCCTGACCAGGAATGGAACCGTGACCTCCTGGGTCATTGGTGGGCGCTCCACCACGGAGCCAGGCGGCCGGGCAGGGTCACTTTTATGCCGTGCACCTGCGGGTGTGGACAGATGTGATGGCGTGTGTCCATCGTCACAGCGTCACAGCGCGGTTTCATCGCCCACACCCTCGAGGCTCCCCCATCCCTCCCGTCAGCACTGGAAACCCCTGGTGTTGGTGCTGGATCCATGGTTCAGCCCTTTCCAGACGCCACAGAGTGGGAGCCACGGAGTGGGAGCCACGGAGTGGGAGCCACGGAGTGGGAGCCATGGAGTGGGAGCCATGGAGTGGGAGCCACGGAGTGGCCTCTCAGGCTCGCTCTGTCCTCAGTCACGGCCCTGGCTCCTCCGCGCCATGCCCACCTCCACAGCCCCGTCCTGCCCAGCCAGCAGGGTAGGTAACGGGACGGAAGGCACCTCACTCACCCATGAAGGACGGTCAGGGACGAATCCCAGCGCTCCAGCTTGGACAGTCGCGGTAAAGCTGTTGTCGGTCCGTGTGCAGCCGGAGTGATGGCTTAGCCTGTGCGTGCGGGCTGTGCGCCGAGAGCCCACTGAGCTGTTCCCAGCCTGTTCAACTTTGTAAGTCCGCCCGGAACCTAGCCACCACTTCCCCCTATTCCCTGGTGACGCTCTCTTTTTAAATGTATCTTCCCGATTTGGGTTAACAAGAAGCCCCTCAGTACAGTTCCTGGAGAACAGATTCTTTTTTTCCCCATTTTTTTATTAAGGTATTATGTATGTACATATCTTACCATTTCCCCCACACACACTCCCATATGGAGAACAGATTTTAATGCTTCTCCTACAGTTAACTGATATGCCA